GGTTCAATGGTGGGTGCAATGGTTGGGGTTCAATGGTTGGGATGTAGTGGTTGGGGTTCAATGCTGGGTGCAATGGTTGGGGTGCAGTGATTGGGGTTCAATGGTAGGGTGCAATGGTTGGGGTTCAATGGTTGGGGTTCAACTGTGGGTGCAATGGTTGGGGTTCAATGATGGGTGCAATGGTTGGGGTTCAGTGGTTGGGAGGCAGTGGTTGGGGTTCAATGGTGGGCGCAGCGGTTGGGGTTCAATGGTTGGGGTTCAATGGTGGGTGCAATGGTTGGGGTTCAATGGTTGGGATGTAGTGGTTGGGGTTCAATGCTGGGTGCAATGGTTGGGGTGCAGTGATTGGGGTTCAATGGTAGGGTGCAATGGTTGGGGTTCAATGGTTGGGGTTCAACTGTGGGTGCAATGGTTGGGGTTCAATGATGGGTGCAATGGTTGGGGTTCAGTGGTTGGGAGGCAGTGGTTGGGGTTCAATGGTGGGTGCAATGGTTGGGGTGTGACATACCTTGTGCAGGGGACACCAGCCACGGGAGCGCCATGACAGCCCCTAGGAACTGCCTGCTCCAGGCCCCCTCCCTCCAGCACCGCCCGGGGACTATTTATGGGGAGCTGAAGTCACCGGCGCTCGGGCTCTGAAGTCACACGCGTCTCTGCTTGTGCTACTTCTCCTGCGCTTCAAAGTGTCACAACACGGGTGCTATCTTTGCCGAGGCGGTTGTCCCCCACACGCTGTGTCCCAGATGCACTGTCGTAGCTGCTCGCAGCCAGGCGCCTCCCCAGCCCCGTTCCCTCGCCAGGAACGGCTCGGCTCGGCGCGGCGCAGGGCTGGCAGGGCGCTGAGCCGGGGAGGGGGGGTGGTGGTGGGGGCTCTGACTCACACCCAGCCCAGCCAACAGATAAATATTTGACTTGAGTTCATTTGCAAACTCAATAACGGGGAGGCATGTCCAAGGCTCTCAGGCGGCGCTTGGAAGAGCATCCCCATCTCAGGGCAGTGTGGTCACCTCTGCCGTGGGGCAGGAGCATCACCTGGATGTTTCCCCCCCCCCAGCAGCAAGAATCCCTGTGGATATTTCCCCCATTCATCCCCAAATCCTTGAGGCTCTACCCCACCTCTGCGAGGGCCCTCAGCCGCGGCGCTGACAGCGAAGGCAAGCATCACTGCACCACAGGGGGGTCACCCACCAGCTGCCCACACCTCGGTGGCCCCAGGACCCCCCCCCACCGACCCCAGCGCCCACAGGATGGTCCTGGTGGTCCCGCAGTGAGCCCCGCCGTGCCTGAGATCCCTTCCATATGGGAGCAGCCAGCGGAGCTGCCAGCTCCCAGCTCCAGCGCTTGCCGCTACATCTGGAAACTCTTCTCACCCTTAATTGTTCTTAATGCTTTAACACGCGGAGTGACTAATAAGACACTAATTGGGCGGCGTTAGCAGCGAGAGACGGAGCGGGGAGCGCGGCTGGCAGTGCCCTCTGTGCCGAGCCAGAGCTCTCCCAGCCCCTCAGCTGCTGCTGAGCCGCCAGTGTCATAAATCACTGCAAAACCCAAGCGCTTTTCCCTTCTCGGCCTTTCCCAGAGCGGTGGGAAACCCGGCTCCAGCAGAGGGGAGAGCAAAGAACTGCGGATTTTAGCTCTGGCTCACAGCCACCCACCCCCCGGGAGGAAGGGAAGAGAGGACACGAGGTCCTCCCCGGCAGGGATGTCCCCCACACCTTCCCCCCATCGAGCAGAAAGGTCCCTTCATCACTCCCCTCCAGCCACTGGCACCGCTCACCCTCGGCTCATGACCTGGCCACCACCAGGACGGGGTCCCACTTGGCATTGCCCACGTCGAGGAGATTTCACTGAATTTTTAGAGTTGGAAGGGACCATAGAGATCATCTAGTCCAACTCCCCCGCTGAAGCAGGATTGCCTAGAGCTAGAGCATGTTACTCAGGACTGCATCCAGGCGGGTCTTGAAAATCTCCAAGGAAGGGGACTCCACACCCTCCCTGGGCAGCCTGAGATGTGAGGAGACAAGTGACGAAGGACCACAGGGAAGGCACCCACTCCTGGGAGATTTGCAGCCGCTGCCGGGGCGCTGGGGCAGAGGATGTCGGCGTTTGGGATGCTCCCCTGCCCCACAGAGCCGTGGGGTGATGCCCCCCCAGTCCCAGGGCTGCCTGCTACTGGGGGACAACTCTCGGGCGAGCTCCCGGGGGGCTGCCAGCCCTGCCCACCCCTCGGCTGGCAGCACCGCGCTCGCTGGAGCCGCTCGGCAGCGGGAAATAGGCACAAATCTTGTTACACACTGGCTAAGCCTCCCCGGGCATGTTTTCTATAAATCTCCTGGAATTTATTATATGATAACTAGCCTGGAAAAGCTAAATTAAATCCACAGCCAAGAAACTGACTCAGATGTTTCTCCATTGCTCATCTTCAAGCCTTCCTTTAAGGAGCTCTCGGGGAGGGAGGGGGGGGTTTGGCAGGTTGGGGGGGATGATGGGGAGAGTCCTCACAGGGGGTCCACATCTGTATGTTCATCCATGCTCCAGGCAGCTCCCCGTCACCCCAGTGAGCCTCGTGTGTGGCACCAGCACCGTGTCTGAGGTTCATGGCCACCAACCCAAAGCCTCCACGCACGGCCCCAGCGCTCGGGGAGGGATGTTGAAGGGCAGAGAAAGCCACAGGGGGAAAACCCAGATGGGGAAAGGGCTCAGTGGACCAAGCATGAGCGAGCCCACCCCTGTGCTGGTGCCCAGAGCAGGTCCCAGCAGTGATGGCTGCACCAGCCTGGCCAGACAAGGCACGTTCTCCCAAGGATGGGCACCTCCTCCCTGTTCCAGGGCACGCCATGCCTCTCTGATGGGCACCAACCCGGCCAGACAAGTCACGTTCTCCCAAGGATGGGCACCTCCTCCCTGTTCCAGGGCACGCCATGCCTCTCTGATGGGCACCAACCCGGCCAGACAAGTCACGTTCTCCCAAGGATGGGCACCTCCTCCCTGTGCCAGGGCACGCCATGCCTCTCTGATGGGCACCAACCCAGCCAGACAAGTCACGTTCTCCCAAGGATGGGCACGTCCTCCCTGTTCCAGGGCACGCCATGCCTCTCTGATGGGCACCAACCCAGCCAGACAAGTCACGTTCTCCCAAGGATGGGCACCTCCTCCCTGTTCCAGGGCACGCCATGCCTCTCTGATGGGCACCAACCCAGCCAGACAAGTCACGTTCTCCCAAGGATGGGCATCTCCTCCCTGTTCCAGGGCACAACATGCCTCCCTGATGGGCACCAACCCAGCCAGACAAGTCATGTTCTCCCAAGGATGGGCACGTCCTCCCTGTTCCAGGGCACAACATGCCTCCCTGATGGGCACCAACCCAACTGCAAACCCCTGCAAGAAGCAGCACGTCCCCAACCCTGAGGCTCAAGGTCTCAGGAGGAACTCCCAGTGCTCCTGCTCCTCACAGTAACGCACCAGCTCCGGAGCATCACGGTGCTGGGGGGGCACAGCCCCACACTTGCCCCTCCAGAAGAGGCCAGGAAGGACCACGCATCCTACCCGTGCCTGCTGGGCTCAGGGCTCTCAGCAGGAGCGGGGTGCGGGCGCCGTGGGCAGTGCGGGGCCGTGGTGCTCCGGCAGCCCCGGGGGTGGGCTCGGGGCTGGGACACGCTGTTGTTCGGGAACGGAGCGCACTGGCAGAGCGGCGTGTGGGCAGCTTGCATAATAGTGCCAGCCCACACTACGCCTGCTCCCTTCCCAGCATGATCAGCCCCTCGCTTTCATGAGCAATAACATCCACCCAAAGTTTTCTAAAAGACAAAAAAAAAAAAGGCTTCAAGGTGATAACACAGAGCTCAGCTGCCTCTGCTGCCTTCAAACTGATTAAGGCAGCTGGGGAAATCCATCTGCACGGAGCGAGGCTCCTCTAATCCCCCGCTTGGGACGATCTCTGCCCCAGCCTGAGGGATGAGGAGTCACAAAATCCTGCTCCCTTGATTTCTGAGCAGACGCGTGGGGTTGGGACCGAGTGGAGGAGCTGGCGTGGGGCGAGCAGCGCTGCGAGGGTTGGGGGGGGGATGCATTGATGCATCAGGACCCCTGTGCCAGGCCACACAGCTCTGCCAGCATCCCTGCTCTCCCCTCCGCTCACAGCATCCAGGGGACAAGCGGTCCCAACTCTGGGGGTCCCCCGGAGCAGCAGCCAGCGGGGCAACGTGCCAGGAGATGCCACGACACGTGGCTGGTAGCCGGTCCCCGAGCAGCACCCGTCCCCTGGCCGTTGCAGCCCCTCCGAGAGCTGCCTGCACCCTCGGGTACTCAAGCTGGGAGGGACTGGGGACGACGGCTTGTCTGGAGGGGAATGTCACGCTGCCTTGGCTGGGTTTAAATTTTAACTACTCGCTAGTCTGGTGGCAGCTCCCGGAGCGGGCTGGTGTCAGCACGAGGCAGGGATTTAGTCCGTGTAACGTGAACTGACGGGGACGGGTTCAAACCGACCGAGTGGAAACCCCCCCAAAGCAGCCACGGTGGGGTTTTTGCGGCACGGTCTGTGCTGAGAGGTGGGTCTAGGTGGGTCTTGGTGGGTCTGGCCAGGCCGTGATACGCTTGGCTGTGTGTGTATCACACCTGCGTGGTCCATGCACGGGACCACCGAGGTCCTGCCTGCCCAGGACCCCCGCGCTCCTGCAGCCAGTGGGAGGGTGATCCCTGGGACCCATCCCGGCGGAGCAGCAGAAAGCTCAGCCCGTGGGGCAGGACCAGATGCCTCCCACCCCCACTTCGCACAAAGAAGCTGTGGCTTCTCCCCACGACGTTCCCCTTCACCAGGTCATCTCACAACAGCCTGGACCTCAGGTACTTGTGCCACCGCAGGTGGGCACGGGATCGGATCCCAGTGGTGGTACAAAGCACAGGATGGGCTGTATCATGGGGCTGCTGCCCCTGGCACGGCCCATGGGAAGAAGCAGCTTCATCCTCAACCCAAAACCCCTCTCCGTGTCCCCCCCCCTTACCTGGGCTGCTCGGTGGGAGCGACGTACCTGGGGGCCGGGAGCAGGTCCCTGGTGCTGCGGTCGCAGGCGGGAGCTCACGCTGGCGTGGGGCCCTGGGAGCCGTGGGGAAGAGCTGTCGGGGTCTCAGAGCAGCAGCTTCTCAGCCTGGAAGAGAGAAGGAGAAGGTTCCAGTCCCGTCCCTGTGTAGGCTTCGCTGCTAATAACGGAGGAGGACGCGGCAGAGCTCGGCGCCTCTGAACGCCGCGGCTCCCAGGGACTCGCACGTCGCTTGTCCCACTCTTTTAACAGCAGAATCAGCTCACGGCTGGAGAGCGGCGTTGGAGCGTGGCCCGGCTGCTCCACACGCACAGAGGCACGACCCTGCCCACCGGCAAAGCCCCCCCAGAGAGGGGGAAATGGGTCCAGCCCTGAGGAACGGGGCTTGGCTGCAAGGGGTGCAACAGCAGGATCCCAGCTCGGGGTCCCCAGTGGGACCACATCCCCAGCTCTGCTCTGATGGAGGATGCTGAGGCTGGTCCTGCCTCCCCAGGGAGCACAAGTCTCAGTAGAGCACAAGGGATTTCACTGAATTTCACTGAATTTTTTAGAGTTGGAAAGGACCATAGAGATCATCTAGTCCAACTCCCCTGCCAAAGCAGGACCATCCGGAGCTTGTCAGAGCATGTTACTCAGGAGCATCCAGGTGGGTCTTGAAAACCTCCAAAGAAGGGGACTCCACACCCTCCCTGGGCAGCCTGTTCCAGGGCTCTGTCACCCTCACCGTGAAAAAGTTCTTCCTCATATTCAAGTGGAACCCTTTATGTTCCAACTTGTGCCCATTGCCCCTTGTCCTCTCACTGGGAACTACTGAAGAGTCTGGATGGAGACAAGGAAAGGCCAAGACTTATTCTAAAGGGAAAAAATACCCCCCTGACCCCCTGTTCCCCTCCCAAGGCTCCTCAGAGGTAGCCCACAGTCCCACGTCACCCTCAGCAGCTCTGCTTTGGTTTTTGCCTGACCCAGGTTGAACGGGGAATAATCTAACAGTTTGTCCCCCATTGTAATGGGACGTTTTTCCCTGCTCCCCAGCCTGGGGCAGCCCATCCATCACGGCGCCGAGCGGCGATGTCCACCCCACGACCTCCACCGGGCAGCCCCCCCCGTGCCCGCCATGAGTTATGGTGCCTGCACTAGTCCAACTCCCCTGCCAAAGCAGGACCATCCAGAGCTTGTCAGAGCATGTTACTCAGGAGCATCCAGGTGGGTCTTGAAAACCTCCAAAGAAGGGGACTCCACACCCTCCCTGGGCAGCCTGTTCCAGGGCTCTGTCACCCTCACCGTGAAAAAGTTCTTCCTCATATTCAAGTGGAACCCTTTATGTTCCAACTTGTGCCCATTGCCCCTTGTCCTCTCACTGGGAACTACTGAAGAGTCTGGATGGAGACAAGGAAAGGCCAAGACTTATTCTAAAGGGAAAAAATACCCCCCTGACCCCCTGTTCCCCTCCCAAGGCTCCTCAGAGGTAGCCCACAGTCCCACGTCACCCTCAGCAGCTCTGCTTTGGTTTTTGCCTGACCCAGGTTGAACGGGGAATAATCTAACAGTTTGTCCCCCATTGTAATGGGATGTTTTTCCCTGCTCCCCAGCCTGGGGCAGCCCATCCATCACGGCGCCGAGCGGCGATGTCCCCCCCACGCCCTCCACCGGGCAGCCCCCCCCCTGCCCGCCGTGAGTTATGGTGCCTGCGCCGCGCGGCAGGACGGGCTCGGGGCTGGCTCCGCGCCGGGAGCTGAGATTTATCCCCTCGGCAGAATAGGGGGCAGAGGCCAGGAGATAAGTCACAGCAAAGCTGCAGGAGCGTCTCTCAAGGTCCCCCAAGGTTGGCTCATTAAAAAGCAAGGAGAAGAGGAAAGGGAAAAAAAAAATAATAAAAGAAATGCCCGCAGCGGTGTGGCTCACCATCACCCTCCCGCCTTCACGGCAGCCAAATCCAAGAGGGAAGTGAATGGGGGCCAGGTCTGCAGCCCCCGGGGAGGCTGGGGGTGAGAGAAGCCACCAGTATCCCCCAACACTCATCCCAGGAGGACCCCAACAAAAGCAGCAGCGTGGTGCCCAGATGGAGATGCCACCTCCCAGTGGCGCAGGAGCCAGTGAGCAGTTGACAGGCAGCTGGGAGGGTGTTGGGTCAGGCCAGGGGAGGACACGAAGGAAGACGGGCAGAGGGGAGCCAGACACAGCACAGAACTGCCCCATGGCTCCCCGGCCTCCCGGAGGAGGAGACGGCCAGGGCTGTGGGGTGGGCTTGCCCCTGTGGCCACCTCCATCGGCACAGAAAGCCCACGGGCAAGCACCCCACAGCTCCACAGCCAGAGGTGCCCTCAGCCCCACATCACCGCCCTTTCCACAGCCCCACCAGTGACACCCATCTCCCCCTGTTCAGGCTCCAGCATCCCCAGTGGCCAAGCAGGGATGGACACCTCTGGTGGCACACGTCCCCCTTCTCCAGGAGCAGCTGGAGTGGCCACAGACACACTGGGACCACCACCTGCAGCCCCCCGGCTCTGGGCTCTACCCCAACTCCCAGGCACACCACGGGACCGGGCACCGTCCCACCAAGGGAACCCATCACTGCATTTGGGGAGAGAACACAGAAAACCCCCAGAGAAACCGTCAGCAGCACAGAAACTCCCCAGCCTCCCCAAACTTGCTGGAATTCCCCTTCCGCCTCATTAGTCCTGCTCATTAGGCTCTGCTCCTGATTAGCACGCGCGGAGCTATGGCACAGCTCAGCACAACTTCAGGCTGGGAGGGAGCTGGGTGCAAGGGCTGGGAAGAACACCAGGATCATCCCCCCATGAGTTCCTGTACCAAAAATGGGAAAGAACTTCACCCAGAGATCGCTGACACGGCAGCTCCTGCCTGAGCCCAGCTTTGCTCTGGAATCACTTCCCCCGGGACGTCAGCGACCGAGGGTCCTCTCCCCCAGATCCCAGCCCAGCACAGCACTGGAGGCAGGAGCCCCTGGGTTTCCTCCCCAACACCTCATTTCCAACACGAACTCATTCAGCTGCAGCTTCCACGCTCGCATTGCGGGGTTTACCCGAAGCCCAAAAAAAAAAAAAAAAAAAAACCCCGAAAGGCAATCAAAGCATTTAGCTCTTCTTTGATTCCACAGAGCTCTCTGAAGCCTCCACCAGCTTCAGCTGTGTTTGGGGGGACAGTCTGCAGCCCTGCCTTGTGCTCCTCTTTGGCTCAGCCTCGGGCAGTTCTTTATCAGACTTGTCTGATATTTAAGCACTAGGCATTAGAAATGCAGCTTAAAAATGAAAGCTTGGTCTTTGTTTCCTGTGGCATGAGGTGGTGGTGTTGGGGTTATTTCTCTCTGGGAAAATCTGTGTTGGCGGGGGGGGCTCAGAGGTTTTATCCAAGCCAGCAGCACCCCAGGGGGGAGAAGGGAAGATACAGCCCAGAGCATCCGCAATCCAGGAAAAGGGGGGGGGGGTTCAGGACCGGGGTTGTGACCACTCATTTTTGGGACACTGAGCCCCTGCTGCTGCCCCTGCACACCCCAGAGGATGCTTGACCCCAGCCCCAGCCCAGCATGGTCTGTGGGACTTCTCCGTGGCAGTGGGGTGATGAAGAATCCCCCTCATCAGGGCAGCAGGCCGAGGGAGGAGGAGGGGGGGCTGCCAAGGCGAATGCGGGTGC